GAGAGAGTGTGGTGTGTGTGTGTGGCCAGCTCAGCCCACCAGGGGGCGGGCTGGCTGGCATGTGGTGCTGGGGGATTGAACTTTTGAACCGCGGTCCCTGATGCTTTGTCAAGCTTGTTCTAAGTAGGTGCCTTAGACCACTGAGCCATCTCTCCAGCCCCCAGACATTTTCTAGAATGGCAGCCATTGCAAGTTATTTCCAACATAACCATGGCCACCCTTTCATCTCTACTATTTGTAAATACGCCTCCATTTTTAGGATGTTATATGTACACAGTCTTATAAAGATATGAGTTTAATGAAGATACTGGCAAGTTAAATATATTAAGGAATTATTTACAATAAGACATTACTTCACTCATAAAGTCCCTGAAAGTTACCAACTTTTGTTTCATGAGAAACATGACAAATTATTTTAAATATCTAATGTTTTATAACAAAAGATCTATTCTATCTACAAAACCGTAAATTTTCATACTTTAATATACCATTTACACGTGATTGAATCCCTATAAAAGTTAAGACAATGCAACAGTATTTTGCTGGAGTTACTAATAATATAAAGTGTAGGAATATGTATTTTATTTATTTTTTTTTTTGGTGGAACCGGGGATTGAACTCAGGTCCTTGCGCTTGCCAGGCAAATGCTTATTCCACTGAGCCATCTCCCCGGCCCCAAGGAATATGTATTTTAAAAATACTTAAAAAATCCAAGCCTTATTGCATTTAAGAGAGAAAATAATAAAAGTTCTACATGCATTATCTACCTAAATTTGTCAAATACAAATGGGCAATGATGGATAATTTATTAAGTTTTAAATATATAAATTGTCTATATAGAAATCTTGAGCAGCATTTTGTATTTTCTTTTAAAGAAAAAAGGAAGGTTTAAGTTTATTGACTGATCATATAGTTTAAGTTTATTGACCTATGATACTAAGCAGTGTTTTGACCTTTCTGGGTCGCAATTTGTGTATCTGTGAGGAATACTTCACTGAATTGCACAAGCTATCTTAAAAAGACAACAGCTTAAAGGAATGCTCTGTAAACAATAAATAATAAATGTGATTTATTGTGGTTAATTCTATTAATTACTGTCAGTGATCAATCGCTCAAATTGTGCAGCACAGCCATGAAACCATGCTATCTAAGGCTGACAGTCACAAACAGACATAGGAACCCACAAGATAGCACATCTTTTCCTAAGCAACACCAATGGTTATCTGTTGTTCAAAGGAAAGAGATGGATGTCACAAAAGTAAAAATAGTAATTTAAGTATAAGGCCACAAAAAGTTATACTAATAGATTTTATAAAAATTTGCAGAATCCTCAAAATAATAAAAAATATTTGCAGAAGATCAGGTAATAGTAAGATATGAGTAAACACAGTAAAAGAAGACTTGGTCAGTTTTTCTATTTTGAATAGTATTTTCTGATTGAAATTTCGAGACTAAGAAAAGAAACACCAATTTCTAGAAAAAAATAAAAAAGGAAAACAACAAAAATTGTCTTCTCATGATAAACACCTAACTTGGAAAATAATTAATCACTGAGTGTTGCTTATCACCCTACACCAAGTATCATCACTACCGTGTAACACTTTAACACATGCAGAATTCACGTATCATCAAGCTCTTACAGGGAAACCAGGTACCAGGTTGCTATGGTTTATATCTAATGTCCCCCAGGAGCCTCATGTGCTCAGAGGTGGGGATTTTGGAAGGTGGCCGGACTATTCGGGCTCATAGCTGACTTGTGGTTAGGAGGTGGGATCTGGGGGCAGGATGTGGGTTGCTGAAGTGTGGCCTGAAGGGCCTATCTTCCTCTCCAGTTCCTCTCTTTACTCTCCCTGCTTCTAGGTCACTTTTCCTCTGTGCAGATGTTTCCACTATGCCACTTCTGTCCTAGGGAAGATGACTGACTGAAACCTGTAGAAACAGTGAGCCAAAATAAGCCTTTCCTAGAGTTGCATGTGGCAGGTATTTTGTCTCAGTAATGAGAAAGTTAACTGAGACACAAGTCCAAAAGTAGCGATGAGGCTGGAGAGATGGCTCAGTAGAACAAGTGCTTCCCTAATAAGCGCAAGAGCCTGAGTTCAATCTCCAGTTCCACCATTAAAAAAAAAAAAAAAAAAAAAAGACAGCTTAGATCTGTAGGGGCCTGCCCATTGCCTCAGTTGTTTAAGTGCTTGCTTAAACAAAGCAGTCAGGCTCAGGATGCTGACGTTCCATCCCCAGATACTCACGCCAAACCAGATCTGCCCAGAAGGCATTCTGTGGCAGCCAAAAAAAAAAAAAAAAAAATCCTTCTGCCAAAAGTAAGGATGAAATACTGGGGAAGATAATATGTTAACCGACAATCCAGATACTACTAAGTAAATGCTCTATTTTAATACAATGTTCTCAGAACCCTAAAAGGAGACCTAACTCTGCTGGGAATGGGGGTGGTGCTGGCACAGGAAACTACAGGAAAGGGAACACTGGAACTGAATCTCATCCATAACAAAAACTTGCTGGAGTGAAGGAAGGGTACACTAATAAGAAAAAAAAAAAAAAAAAAGAAGCAATAGTAAATTTGGAGTTTAATGACATTTCATGTGGCCAAAGCACTGCGCTGGGAAAAAATTAAGACAGGAGAGGAAAGTCTCAGGTGATGTCAGCCAGTGCCTTCTATGCTGTGAGGAGTGTGGTCGCTGTAAAAGCGTTGCAAGAGAAATGTGAAAAGTCAGTATGGTTCTTAGAAAAGTAGCTGGTGACGCTCTGAAGGATGCAATGAAACGAAAGACACCAAAATCTGAACCTGATACAAATATCTTGAGCCACTATTTTCTCATTACTTGAAAAATTTCTGCTTTAAACAAATGATTGCTAATAAGTACAAAACTGGCATCAGTGAGACTATGAGAACTAAAATATATTTATGTTAATCAATAAATATTAATGATCTCCCAGAATTCTTTTCTGATGGCACGAGGGTCATATATATGTTAGACAAGTGCTCTATCAGCAAGCTACATCACCAGCCCTAGAAAATTGTCAGTAGGACTATAAGAAAACAAATATTCAACCCTTTAACAGATGAACATTTTTTTAAAGTCACAAAAATGATAATACTGTAAGACATCAGCTAATGAATAGTTTTACCTTTGCCTCTATATACTTTAAGATGCTTTTAGAATTTTCCACAATAAGCCAGCAGTATCTTTATAATCAATAAACAGTTAAAAAGCACATTGTCCACTGCATCTAGGAAACAATTATCTCCATGAAAATCTTAAAACTAAAACACTACCTTTTTGTCTCCTTGTTTTCGTCTCCTCAATCCAGGTCGATAATCATCTCCAAATCTCAGAAAATAATAGTAAGAAACTAGCCTCTCAATAGGATCCCTTATGACATTAATATAAATTGGCTTCTTTTTTACACCAAATCTGAAATAGGACAAAAGTGATGAAATCAACATTTTTATTCTGCTTAAGAATTTCCTGAAATTATATCTGGAAGTCTGAAGTACTGATCATATATGGAAAAAACCAGACGAACAAACACACCCAACTAAAGTATTAAGTGAAGACTGGGAGATCATTCAAGATTACTTATGTTACACTAAAGCAAGCAAGAGTTAAGAATTTAAGAAATTATGGTGATCACTTACCTGGGGAAGTGGCTGAGTAGCCTGCCCTGAATGGCATGGATGGCTGAGGCAGTTGGCAGCCTATCAGGAGTTTAGCATGGTAAGGTCTTCAGAAGCAGACTGGCAGGTTGCCCTAAGCAGGCAGATCCCACAAATCTTTTCAGGTGAACTATGTAGGCCTCAGATGGTGGTCAGTAACCCGTTTGGGCCCAACTTTCACCCGGCCATCAAGTGGCCCTCTGATATACTGACAGACATTCCATCCCAGTATCAGGCATACTGTAGTATATCTGCCTGGTAGATGGTGACAAGCCAATCCCCATCAGCCCTTGAGCAGAGATGGGTATTCTGCCCCTGCTGCCACACCAGCTGTGCATTACCTGCCCACATCTTTTGGAGTGGTCTTACCCCAAGAAAACTATCCTATAAAAGTGGTAGAGCAAGATGACCTGCCAGTTGCACTAATACTAACAAGGGACACAAGAAGAACCAAAGCATTTAGCAATAAACCCCAAAGAAAAGGAAACTGATAAACAGCTGGGAGAATTCATCATGATGATGATGATGATGATGATGATGATGATGATGATGATGATTATTCTGGAAAACAGGTTCTCACTATGTAGTCCAGGCTGGCCTTCAACTCGAGACAATTGTCCTGCTCCAAGTTCCTGAGTGCTGAAATTATAGATGTATTGCCACCACTCCTGGCTAGTTCTTAAGGAAACTTAATGAGATAAAAGAATATAAACAGACAGTTCAAAGAAATCAGGAAAACAACTCAAGTCATAGATGAGAAACTTAGAAAAGAGATAGCAATCATAAGAAAGAACAAAACAAATCTTGAGGATAAAAAAGCTCAGAAAGTAAAAAATTTTTAAAAATCCAGTGTCTCAACTGCACATCAAATCAAGAAGAATAAAGAATCTCTGACTCAAAATAATTCAGTAAGGCCAAAAATAAACTAAATAAGTAAATAATAAAAGAATGAAGAAAACCTTTAAGACTTATGGGACTCCATTGAGTGACCAAATTTCTGTGTTTAGGATGTTTCTGAAAGGAGTGTAGGTAGGTAAGGCACAGAAAACCCTATTCAGTGAAACTGCTGCTGAAAACTGCAAATCTTGGGAAAGATGGGCACATCCAGATGTGGAAAGCCCAAAGGATGCCTAATAGATTCAATCAACAACAACCTACTCTGAAGCATATTATTATAGTCACAACACTCAGAAGTACAAGCCAGAGATTAAACTCTAAAATAGCAAGAGGACAGTGTCAAGTCATGCACAAGGAATTATACTACATTACACTAATAATAGACTTCTCAAACAGGATTCTTTCAGACCAGGAGAAAATAGGATGAAATTTTCAATGTTCCAAAAGAAAAAATAAACTACCAACCATGAATACTAGGTCCCCCAAAAGCTATCTATCAAAGCTATCCATCTCTCCAAAGAGAAATAAAGTCTTTCTAAGGCAAAAACAAAACAAAGCAAAACAAATCAGGGAATTCATCACCGCCAGGTAATAAATGTTTAAGGCAGACCTATACTAGAAGAAAAAGAGTAACTACTATGAAAACACAGGAAAGTACAAAATTTACTAGCAAGATACTCAAAAGAGAATATCCTAAGAAGAAAATTACGAGGACTGTCTGTATCAACAAAATAAGGGAAGGAAAAGTTAAATGTCAAATAACCTAAAGATGCAGCTCAATAAAATAGATAAGCAATAAACAAAATCCAAAATTAGAAGGAAAGACTTCAACAGAAACAAACAAAATGAAGACCAAAACCTATTTTTTTTCAAATAAATAAAACTGACAAACTTAGTTTTTAAGGAGAAAAAGAGAACCAGTTACAAAATTAAAGGTTTAAAAAAAGGAAACATTACAACTGATACCACAGACGTTCGAAAATTCATCATGAATAATCATATGCCAAGGGGAAACCTAGAATACAGATAAAATTTTAGGCACATGTAACTTTCCAAAACTGACATCTAAGAATATAGAAAACTTCACAAGAACAATGGCAAACAATGAAACTGAAACAGTAATAAAAAGTCTTTCAGTAAAGAAAAGCCTACACCTAGATGACTTCATTGCTAAAGTTTACTAAATCTTTAAAAAAAGACTAATATTAATTCTTCTCAAGCTATTATAAAGAATTGAAAGGAAGAGTGAAGCTTCTAACTTCATTTCATAAGGCCAGCGTTATCCTACTACCAATGCTTGACAAACATACACAAAAGAGAAAACTATACACAAGTACCCCTGATGAACAGATGTAAAAATCCATAGCAAAACACTTATAAATTGAATTCAACAAAAAGATCACACGCTGTGATCAAGCTGCTTTCATTCTAGCAAGCAAAGATGGTTCAGCATATGCAAATTAATAAATATGAGTATGTAACATAAGAATGAAGAACAAAAATTACCCAATCATCTCAATATCACAGAAAAAAAATTGATAAAATTCAGTATCTCTTCATGATAAAACCTTTAACAAAAGGGCATACTGAAAGAATATAAATCAATACAATACAAGCTATAATATGACAAAACACAGCAACTCCATGCAAATATGAAAAAGTTAAAATTATTTCCTCTAAAATCAGGAATGAACAAGGATGTAAACTTCAACCACTCTTGTGTAATACAGTTTAGTGTTGGAGATTTTAGCCAGAACAGTTAGGCAAGAGAAAGAAATGAAGAACAGAAATTACAAAAATACTTGAGGACATTATGTTAAATGAAGTAAGCACACTGCTGTGTGGAAGCTTATGTGGAAACTAAAAGGCTGAACTAATATAGAGGTAGAGATTAGATTACTGGTTTCTAAAGCCTAGGAAGCATGTGTACGAAGAGATGAAAAGAAGGTGCTTAACAGGTACAAAAGTGCAGCTTGAGAGGGGGAATAGCTTGTAATGTTCCATAGCATAGAAGGATAACTAGTTAAAAACTATGAGTTGAGTATTCCAAAAGAGTAAATAGGATTTTGAGTGTTTCAAATCCAAAGAAATGATAAATGTGTAAGATGACAGATAGCTCAATTATCTTAATTTGGTCACTGCACAATCTATATATGTATTGAAATATCACACTGTATCCCATACAAATATATGACAGTTTGTCAATTAATAATTTTTTTAAAAAGTTGTAGAAGGAGAAAATGAATAAAAATTGTAAGCTTTATATATACAAAAATAATTTTTTTGCCTTCATTAGGGTTCAGATTCCAAATACATAATACTCTCTCAAATTAGCATACATATATAGAAATTAGTATTTATAGTTTAAAAATGGGCTTACTAAGGGGTGATCTGTTAGGTTCCATAACCAATGTGGTAGTATAAAAAGTCTGAAATATGCACCAAATACAAGTAATGATGTGTCGTTTCTGGCTCTCCACTGGGTAAGCATTATCAACAGATGCAGTACTGAGTCAATGCAAATACAACCACCTTCTACTTTTACTGATTTTAATGACAAGAGAGAAGTGGAAAACATGTAAGTCTTCAGCATTACTTACAGAATGAAAATGGCTGACATCATGGATGATTGTCACTTTTGCAACCTTCGAGGATCAGGGAATTGTCCAACTGGTTCCTTGGCCTAGCATCCTGCCCATTCCCCACCCTGAAATGTCCTCTTGACTCTTCCCTTTCTCTTTTCATTTAATAAAGTTACCAAGTCTAATTTTTCTTTTGTAAGCTTTCTCAATGAAGTGCTGTCTTCCTCATTCTCTTTTTACCATTGCCTTCTTCCCAGCACTTCTGCTTGGATGACTGTGGTAATCTGTTTGGTTTTCTTATATTCAGTTTTTCTCCCTTTTAATCCATCTTTCATATGGTAAGTGAACAGCATGAATTGAAAAGGAGAAGGTAATATAGGGTTTTCATTGATTATAAAGAAAAACTATGAACAGACAAGTCTAGGAGAAAGACGCTTTCAGTGAACTCAATGAGGTCAAGATTCGAAACTTAACTTTGTACTTTCTATACATTAGAACATTCTGAAAATGTCCAACCTATATAGTTTTAAACTATAAAATTTTAAAATTGATGGCATGAATTTATCTTGTCTATATAATTAAGACAAAAAGTAGCAAGACGGAATAAAAAAGAAAAATGTAAGAAATAAGTATTTTGGTTATTATCCTAAAGTTCTGGGAAGAAAAAAATATACATATATAATCAGAACATGCGTTGGGCAGACTTAAGATCACAAATAAGATGTGTACCTCTCAGCAGATTTTCTAAGTTTATACTCTTTCATGTTTCCAGTGAAGGCAACTAAAATACTGTGATTAAAACTGTTGCACCAAATTCACAATTTTTTTTTCTATTGGCAAGTCTTTTTTTAATAAAATATGTAAACAATATGCTTGTTAAGATAATGGTAGGGAATCAAAAGTAAATAATTTTAAAAATTGGTGAGGTGGGACATCTGCCTGGCACACACAAGGTCCTCAGTTCGATTCCTGGTCCCCACCTCCCCCCCAAAAAAACCCCAACACTGGTAAGGTGACATTTCTCTCTTTTTTCTTAATTATGAGTTATAGGGCCATCAAACAAAAAGATAATTAAAAGGGTACTGGTGTTTAGGTATTTGTTCAAAATTGTCTAGAAGTCTATTGAAGTTTTTTACACTAATTTTTAGTTTCAGTATCAAGAGGACTATGAAAATCTACAAACCCCTAAATATTCATGTCAATATTTAATAAATAAGATTGTTTCTTTCAAAAAGCTTTATACTTTCAAGTATAAGAACCTAAATATACACTACAGCTTTGTTCTAAAACTTTGCCTAAAGCAAAAGCACTCAATATATAATTTTAATAATGAAAACCTCAAGTATTAGAAACTGAGTTGTGTGTGGAAAAATAAATCATTTAGGTGAAAGGGTAACAAACATTCAATTCAAGGATAATGCAGCCCTCAGGGAAAATATGCATATGAATGAAGTTTATGAAATTGGTTCAATGCTTCTACAAAGAAAAAATAATTAGTTTATTTTAAAGCTACCATAAAATGTTTTCAATATTGTAGTATGAATTATTTATAGAAAAATGTACATCTAACTTTGAAGCTATCACTTTATTGAAAGACTGAGTAGAATGGGAGAAAAAAATTAGAATATATCATTTTTTTGTACATGTAGTATGTAGGTGACTCCTTAAGATTTTCAAAAAAGTTACAAGATTTACTGTTTCTCTCAATCAGTAATATTTCAGCTTATTTTTCAAATTTAATGAGATACATTGAAAGTGAAATGTCCCTTTCATCTTAAACTTTACACATTATCTTTTAAAGCTGGCAAATAAATGAAGATGTATTCCTTTAAATCATGAATATTAAAGACAAAAAATAAGCTTTAACCAGAAAATTTTTGGATTTTCTAAAGTTAACCCAAAAATATTCAGAGAAATGAGGATCTGAGGCTTCACCAAGATGGTATGATGTGTACTACAAAAAAGTTCAAATAGCTCAACAAGACTAATGTTTAAACTATTCCTTTTTACGTACTGGGACACCAATAACTGTGGGATAATTATTTTGCTTTCTAACGGTGTGGTACAGCCACATCTAACTGAGCAAGTTAAAATCTGAGCTTTCCTAAAGCAGCATCACTCTAGTTGTATAAGAAACATACATAATAATGATGAGTAACTTCAATTAACCTTACCTAAATTAAACATAACTTGAAAATTGCCAATTTATGAACGCTAGAGGGCAGTAAGACACTAGATAGATATTTAAATCACAGCTCTAAAAGCAGGAAAGGCAATTCAGTACTGCACATTCTTATTTTGGAAAATCAAAATATGACAATTTAACACTTTTTTTTTAGGTTGCAGAAGTACAAAGCATTCTTAAGTGTGTCACTTTAGGCACAACTTACTTTGCAAAATCCAAGTAAGAAATGTGTCCATGGTAAAATCCTGGTTTCATCTCTTTCCAGGATGTTATATTCTTTACAAAGCGTACCTAAATAGGGAGAACGCATTTGTTAGTTAAATACATTTTGAAGAAAAAGAAATCTGATGATATCAAAAGACTCGCAATTTAAGAATTTAAAACAAGTCACACCAATTTGACAATTATAGAACGGGAAAAACATTTTTGGATTAAACAAAGTATAATGTAATCTGTAATTACTAATTCATCATAAAGCTACTAACAGCATACTCAGGAAAAAGAGATTGTAAAAACAAAACTGCAAAATGTAACCATTTACAATCCTGTAAATATAAAGTACATTTATATAAAATGGTAGGAGTATAGTTGAACGTGTACATTCTTCACTTACCTACCAATACACATACTAAAAACAAACAAAATTACAGTAAAAATCTGTATGTTGTAAATATCCCCAGAGGCTTTCTTATTTTAATGTATTTGGTACAAGATCTCACTACGCAGCTTGGACTGGTAGTGATCCTCCTGTTTTCAGCCTACCAAGTACTGGGATTACAGGCATGCGCCACCACGCCCGGACTCAATGACCAGCTCAGTGCTCCTGGGTGTGGAGCCAGTGTGGCATGCGCTACTGGGGATGGAACCCTAGTCCCTGAGCTTGCCTAAGCAAGCGCTTAGTCTGCTGAGCTATTATGCCAATGCTCAGAGGTTTATTAGTATTAATTTTTTTTTTTTTTTTTGGCAGAACCAGGGATTGAACTCAGGTCCTTGCACTTGCCAGGGAAGCACTTATTCCACTGAGTCATCTCCCCAGCCCCTCAGAGGCTTATTTTTAAAAATTCATTTTCATTGTGATTCAATAAATAAAGTTAAACCAAAATGAGGAAAGAAAAGATGATAATCAGGTTTTTAAAAGGTAAGAATGACCAATAAAATTGAAGATATAATACAAATCAAATATTTAAAAATATCTACATAGGGCTGGTGAGATGGCTCAGTGGTCTAAAGCACCTACTTAGAACAAGCTTAGCGAAGCACAGGGACCGCAGTTCAATCCCCAGCACCACATGCCAGCCAGCCCCGCCCCCAGGTGGGCTGAGCTGGACACACACACACACACACAAATAAAATAAATAAATTAAAAAAAAAATCTACATATTTCCTGGAACTTAAAATTAAAAATTCAGTAAGTATAAACACTACTTTTATTTTATTTTATTTTAATTAATTTATTTTATTTTATTTTTTGCAGAACCGGGGATTGAACTCTGGTCCCTTCGCTTGCCAGGCAAGCACTTATTCCACTGAGCTATCTCCCCAGCCCCTAAACACTTCTTTTAAAAGAATTGGTTAATACAGAGTTTGATAAAACCACCATCAGATTTAAAATAATGATATATAATTTCTTAAAGGAAAACATTATAGATGATGTGAGCTAATCTCTTCGTGATAAGTAACACACGGTTAAGAACAAACAACAAGTACTTAAGAGTCTTTTCTGGAGACCAGATATTGTGCAGGGAGCCCAGGTGGTGAGGCCCACCACCCTTTTCAGTACCAAAAGCTTCTGCAAACCATGACATCAGCCATAAACACTCCATGTCAATGTGTACTTCTGACAATTCATCAACGTTTCATTTACATTTTAGAATAGAGTTAATCACATGGCACTATTCCAGAGTACTTACACTGGATTGGTGTCATTAAGTTAATAGCGATGAATGGGGATAGCTGCTTTCTGTTGGTAGGGGTGGGAAAGGAAATGGGAAATGCAGCTGTGGGTGACTGTGAACTACAGAAAACTGGAAGATTCTGAGAGAATTTATTTTTAGAGGAAGCATTAATAACTCATATGTTAAAGAAAACAAGGGAGCTTTCAGAATGGAAATCGAGGGAGCCTTACTTTCTGTCCTCTCTATAACCATACACTGCCTGGAAATAAAATCTGAAAATCAAATGTAGATAAAAAGTTTGGTTGCTTTAAAAAAAAAACCAATTTCATTTTAGCAGACATTTTCAATTTTCCCCCACTCAAAGCCATGTAAATGTGTGATTTGTGGTTCTTATGTTCTTTCTTGTTCATGCTTCACATGAGGTACCAAACAGAAGTAGAATGATAAACGAAGCAGAAAATAATAAATTAGATAATCCTAAACTGCATCCTTAAAAATAATGACACCAAAATAATAATAATAATAATAATAATAATAATAATAATAATAATGACACCATGAGGGGCCGGGGAGATGGCTCAGTAGAATAAGTGCTTGCCTGGCAAGTACAAGGGCCTGAGTTCAATCCCTGGTTCTGAAAAAAAAAAAAAAACTTCCTTGTAACTGGCAGTTAATGGTAAACTCTGTGATATAAACTTTTGGTTCTATGAAAATCAGTCTCAGTATTTCAGTCAAAATGAGAGGGAAGTATAAAGCAAAGAGAATGAGGAATTAGAGGTGATGGTTCAAGAGCACTTAAGACATATTTAGCAACTCAGCTATATTTTTCAGAAGCACAGGTTTAATATGGACACGCTGGCATAGGAGGGAAACAAAAGCACATGCTAGACTGAAGTCTGAGAAAATGCTTTACATAGGCCAAGTGTTAGATAGAACCGTAGCATAAACCTGGATGGAAGAGTGTATGGTGAAAGGCTAGCAGAGGAAAGGGATAAACTCCAAGTTTCCTTTTTCCTCCAGTATTCCTAAGGATGGTCAATATCAAACCTTCCTGAGAATGAATGGCACTTCATCAGTGTGTGTGCACAAGTGCAGGAAGCTGTGTAGTACCTGGACTGCTGCCAGGCTTCTCCACTGCTAGCTGTGTATGAGTCCTGGGACTCGTGTTAGAATGCAGACTGCTGCAGGAGATGTGGTGCAGGAGCAGAGCCTGCGATTCCCCACTTCTAATACATCTCCAGGTGAAGTGCCACACTGAAGACTAAGGCGTGGGCAGGCTCTTATGTCAGCTTCTGAGGCTTGTTTTTGTGGTCTGCTCTGCTAAAGGAGGCCTGAGGTCTACAGAAGCTCTTGAGTAAACTTAGCGACGTACTCTCAGTAAAAATGGACTAAAATTCAGCACATTTTTGACAATTTTATAAACTACTGGAACACATAAACAGAAAGGGAGAGCAGAAGCTGAGTGAACTCTGCTTCCTCCTCTTCTCACACTCTCAGCCCTCAGGGACACTTGAATCACACTGGAACCAAGCACTCCAAGAAGCTTCCGTGGAAAATTAATGAAATAAGAAACATTGTATTCTGAGTTGGATACAGCTAAGCATTTGCTCAAGGCAGAGAGAAGAACAAGGCACATTACTGTTTAACCATGAGCTCTGTTTACCAAATCAGAATTTTAAGGATGGAAGAGACCAAGAACAACCTTTACTTTCCATTTTATAGCTAAAGAAAGCAAAAATCGGGCTGGGGAGACAGCTCAGTGGTTTAAGCACCTGCCCAGCAGGCACAAGGACCTGGGTGGGTTTGATCCCCCAGCACCACATGCTGTGCTGGCCTCACCCCCAGGTGCACTAAGCTGGTCACAAGAGTCCAAGGGTGGTGGGGCATGCCAGTAATCCCAGCGCTGGGGAGGCTGAGAAAGAATTGCTATAAGTCTGAGTCTGCATAGAGACATCCTGTACCAAATAAATAAATAAATAATTTTTAAAAATAAAAAATAAAAAAAAATCAACAAACTGGGGTACTGAAAAATTCAACTACTATAGTAATCACCGAAATTTCTTCAACTGGGCTGGGTGTGCAGCTCAATAAGACAGTACTTGCCTAATGTATAAGGAAACCTGGGGTGGATCACCAACACACACACTCAATTCCTACTTCTAAAATCTCAAGGTTCAGGGGCCGGGGAGATGGCTCAGTGGAATAAGCACTTCCCTAGCAAGTGCAAGGGTCTGAGTTCAATCCCCAGTTCTGCAAAATAAATAAATAAATAAATAATAAAAAAAATCCCAAGGTTCAGGTGATACAACTTTTGTTTATTTCCTTGTGAATTTACTCATTACCTTCATCATAATCTCAACTTCCAGTCCATTCTGATCATTACAACCACAGGTAACCATTTCAACAATGACCCCTGATCCCTTGGTTTATTACCTGTGAGCGGAAATAAGCTAAAAGAAGATGAAAATCTATGTATCTGTGGAAGTCAGCTTGGTATCACTATAACCAATACTGGAGATAATCAACTTATAAGAAAGTATGTTTTGACTCACAGCAGAGGAGGCTTTGGTGACTGGCACCACTGTTTTGGGCCTACAGGGAGACAACAGACTGTGGCGAGTACGGAGTGGAGCAAAATCAACTACCTCATCACCAAGGAGCAGAGAGACAAGAAAGGGCTTGCTAGGTCCCATTTCGTAAAAGTGTCTCCCAGTTCTCACTGCAGCAGCACACATACTAAAAGTGTCTCCCATCTCCCCAACCTCTAACATGTGGGCCACTGAGGGGAATCTAAGATCCAAATAACAGCAATGCATATTTTTTTTCTTTCATTTCTTCAACATTAACAAAGGCAATGTGTTAAAGTCTCATTAATAAAGCTGTGGCTGACTCACAATGTGCAATAAATCAAAAGATGCTGAGCTGAGGTTAACCTTTCCTTTATGGGGAGGGAAAAAGTGCTAAGCAAACAAATGAGGTCAGTAAGGTTCGAGTGGTGCTTCATACTAATCTGGAAAACAGTCTGAGTGCTGAGAAGGGGCACTTACGTACCACTGAAATTCCAGATTGTTCTTACTTCTTCAAAGTTGTTCTTCAAGGACAGAACATAAGTAACCTCCTGGAAAACAGCATTCTAAAAAAGTTTTCTGAAGTATTTATTTAGCCACTTCTCTTTTTAGCTGTATTTAATATTTATGTCTTTGATTCTCCAAAAATTTCCCTGCCTCTACTTTATGTCCTGCTTTTCCCTTTTGTAAGTCCAGTCCCAGTTCCTTCTCTATGATTTTCTGCCTTTTCACTTTTCCTGCGGTTCCTAGTTTGTCTCCCAGGTTGTTTCCTTCTGGCATTCCCCTCCTCGGAGGCACTGTGCCAATATCTCAGGCTCCGAACACCGAGGAGTAAGACAAGGAAGCGCAGAACAGAGGAGCAAACTTCAGTCATGTTATGGATTCTTATGATTACATCTGGCACTAACAAAGGCTAAATTGACAGGCAAAGAGAGCAGAACCTAATAGTATCAAGTGAAATTTGAGTGAAAGCTCTGCCTTAGGGAGAAGATATAAAGCTACCTTAGTGACTTTATTCAAAGAAAGTCTTCATACTCTGACTGAATATGCTATCAAAGATGTTTCAGAAGTAGTCAGATATACTACATGAAAAAAAAATGTTTTCTGGCTATCCTGGAGCAGATTTTAAAATCTGATTTTTATCAGATTTTATAACTCAAGTAGAATCAAACTAGTAAGTAATCACAAAATGCCTTTAGAGAAAACACAGCAATGTAGGTAGTATACTGTGATTTATTTGCTTGCTGAGTTAGACTTGAACCAATATTGTAGGAAAATGGTAAAAGAAACCCTCCATCTTGCTAACAGTAGTATCTAGACTTACACTGCTAATTAGTTAACCTCAGCATTATAATTATCTGTGATCACAAAAGAACTTGTTTTCACTACCTAAAACAGTAGGAATGTCATCCTGAACATCTTGGCAAATTTTCAACTTTGAAATTACTATCTATTGAATGAATCATACTATTAACAAGTAATTACTATATACCATACTATTATTCATGCATTTACTTAAACATTTCTTACACAGACATGGGTACTTCTATGAGACTAAACCAGCAATGAAGTTTTCTACACTAGGGAAAACTAAATAATTTTAGATTAAAAATATATGCAAAGTTCTACAGCTATAGAGAGTATCGTTACTGAAGTTCAGAGCTGTGCTGCTTAATATTTGGGCTGTGGGGTAAAAAGAAAGGCTAGCGATTCACCTGAAGGATGGCACCAATCACATAGCCATTAATCAGAGGGGTTCACGTTGTCAGTAATTATCATCATGGCACCAAGCTCAATTTAAGAACCACTATTAGAGCCTAACTGGCTTATTTGCTTTTGCACTTAACAAAAAGCTTCTGGTGTTACCTACTATGTCCCGGGCACTATGCTAAACACAATTTTATAGTGGTAAACAAAACAGACAAGGTTCCTGCCATTAAGGAGCTTTTTACTGTAATAGAATTTTATAGATAGCAATCAAATCTATACACAGGATATTCTATAAACTATGGTACTACTATGGCTCCTACTATGGTAGGAAGGATACAGAGTGATTTGATACTCAGTAGTAACTTGGCCGAGATATTTAATATATCCATAGGAAGCCCAATTAAGGTTTGTTTGAGAGAAAGTCAATCTGAAAACTTAAATGTATAACATGAAATCAAATATGGGAGAAGGCAGAAAATATACTCTAAAAGGAAATGTAAGTGCAGAGGCCTTAAAGTGGCAAGAGCACTGGCAGAGACTGGATTAGAAAGGGCCTTCTGTCCTGGGTAAGGAATCTGGATTTTGAAGCAGAAACAGGAATATGAATATAAAGGTATATAAATCTTCCTGGGAAGAATGTAATAAGCACCTTTCCATGTCTTCACCAAGAATCATTCTAGATCACTGCTACTCAAACTATGGTTCAAGAACCAGCTTCCTCAGGTTAACATTAGGTGGAAGTTTTCAAAATATAGCATCAGGCTCTATCTTGGCCCCTCTGAATCAGAATTTGCACTTTCACTAGGATACATATGATAGAGCTTTCCTCAAAAGTGTTGCTCTGAGTTTTGTTTCTGATAAGAGTTCTGATGTCATTCTTACCTTAAAAAAAAAAAAGTGTTGCTCTGATGAGGAATTAGAGAAAAAAAGTACAGTGAATAGCTACATATATTCTTAATGGTATTCTTCCATTCTGAAAGTTACTGATTTATTTCACAGAGAATTATAAAGCAAGAGAGCTGCATGTTTTATAACTTGGACTCTATTACAGTGTCTTGGTGTATACCTCTTGTTACAATTCCCAGCACTCAACAGACTTGTTTCTATAGTTTTTGCTTCCAAACTGTATAGTTTTACATTTTTCTGATTTATAAGAATGACATCTTAAGTTTTTTTCCTAACATGGTTTTAGAACCAATGATAATTACACTATTTTAAACCATATGATTTTGAATTAGAAGAAATTCCATTTTTATAATTAAAAAATAAAAGTTTACATTCAGATGAAGCTTACTAGATTTAAAGGAAAATAAAAATGCAGTTACTTACTATATCAGGCAAAGTAAAGAACCAGTAAATATGATCCGATTTGAAAAAAAATGTTTTTATATATTACAAAATACAAGTTGCAGTTGTTGCATATTAGATATCTTTTATATAAGCCACTCTTAATACCAGGTTTCGAACTCCCAATTGGAAGTATGTCAGCTGATTAAGAGTCTCATGCTCTACCGACTGAGCCAGCCAGGCACCCTGTCAGCTGATTAAGACTGCGCTTCTGCTCTGCCTTACACAAATGTTTTAAATGTTATACATTATGCAATCAAACTGCTTCAAAGACAGCATTTCCTTTTTCCTGTATATAACTAACAAGCTATTGAAGGGAAAACAGAAGCTTTATCTTATCCAAATTCAAGTGGGAAAATATACCACTACATGATGCTGGTAAATGTCACATGCAGAGAGCTTCTGCAGATCTGTATTTCATGAAAAAAATGGTTGATGTCATTGCCAGGTATCTTGTAGCTGTCAGAAAACTTTATAATGCTAGACACAAAATAACTCTAAAAATTGAACAAATTTCTATAAAATACTGCTGAGATCTGAAATTTTGTGAACATCAAAGCATGTTCCATTTAAATGAAGATGAATTATGAAAAGCAATAATGCAAACAAATTTAAAACCTACTACTTGCTGTATAAAATAGAATATTAAAGATGCTTGCCCTTGAGATAGAAAATATTATGTAATGAATACATTTTATGAACCATTTAGCTAAAAAAGCTTGTGTTTCTTCTCATTTACAGAAGAATTATCTGGTCTGGCTGACAGACGAGTATTTTTGATTTTATCAAAAACAGTAATGACGGATCCTGAGGAAAGCCAAGAATCACAAGGAAGATGAGATGCCACACACCATTATTCTTCATAAACAGCTCTCTTACCAGGTCTACTTTACTCTCATGCATAAAAGTCACTCTCCTGCTTCAGTGTAAAGGCTACACTTATGCTTAATCATGGGAAAATAGTCAACTCTAACAATAAAACGATGTCAGCTATTTTCAAACAGATAAATACCAATTACTGATAATAAATAATTTATAAAAAGCTATTCTAATATGGCATTTGAACTCATAGTATTTTCAAATACTATCTTTTTTTCTCATGGGGTCTAACTCTCAGCCCCTTCAATAATTACAGACATAACTTTACGCAAGGATCTGAGTTCAATCCCTGGTTCCACCAAAAAAAAAAAAAACAAAAAAAAAAACAAACAAACAAACAAAAAAAAAAACGCAAGGATCTGAGTTCAATCCCTGGTTCCACCAAAAAAAAAAAAAACAAAAAAAAAAAAAAAAAAAAAGAACAAAAACAAACAAACAAAAAACCTATTTCTCTACCATAAATTGAAAAAATATAATAATTTTTATTACAAGGTGTCTTGGCGAAAATACTCATTTACTTATTTATTTTTTGTATTTAGCACGGGATCTATCGGGTCTCACTATGTAGATCCAACTCGTAATGATTCTCCTGTTTTCAGTTCCCAAGATCTGGGATTATGCGCCACCATGCCCAGTCTCAATTGCCAACTCAGTGTGCCCTGGGGGCGGGGCTGGCACAGCATGCAGGGGATCGAACCCCAGTCACTGCACTCTGCCTAAGCAGCTCTGGCCAGTCATTTTCTTAAAATGATACTACACTCAATAAAAAAATTAGTTTCTTCAAAAATTTATTATTCATTAATTCATTTATTTTATAAATACTTGATTATATATTATATGCAAGGAAATGTGCCACCAAATACTGTGAAGGATGTAAAATTACATACAAGTTGGTTTGTCTTTTCCTATAAAAGGCTTACAATTCATTAAAACCAACATAGATATCCCTTTAAAATACCTTATCCATTTCAGATATAAAATTCGAGGACATACTAAACAACATCCGTGCATTCCCTAAGTGGTAATTACCTGATCTTGCAATGACATCACTGGATTATTTTTGGTAGTGTTGATGTGAAGAACATGGTATTTATTCTTTGCACACAAGTCATAGGCAATATTTGTAAATGAGGTGCTTGCAGTTTTGGGAACTCTGTTGTAAATGATCACCATATCTTCTTCCTCATCTAACGCTGCATCTTGCCGAGGTCCATCCAGTATATGTCGCTGCTCACTTTCTCGAACTTCATGTCTTGCGAAAGCCCTCTCTGCAGAGAAAAAGATGGAACTAAGTTTTTTTTTTTTTTTTCCCTCCCCAGACAGAAAGCACTGAATTACATTCCCAATCTTTTGAGTTAAGGTCTTGCTGAACTGCTAATTTGCCTAGATGGAACTTGAATTTACAATCCTGTCTCACTCATCGAGAGTGTTGGGATTAAGGTGTGTGCCACTATATCTGGCTAGTTTTTAATGACACTATAAGAAAATTATGAACACTGAATATTGGATCATAATGAGAAACAACACAAAGATTAAAGAAAAAAAGTAAAACATACAGGAAATATGGGCAAATTGCTTAAGATTTTAGAAGGATCTATCTAGTGAATTCTAAAACAGCTTTCACCTAGAACACAATTTCCTTAATCAAAAACTAAGCAAGAGGGCTGGGGAGATAGCCCAGTAGAATAATCGCCTGCCTAGCAAGCACAAGGTCCTGAGTTCAATTCCCAGTACTGGAAAAAAACCCAAAACACTAAGGAAGAGCAGGCCAAGGCATGTTCTGACAACTTTAGAATTATGTTTGAAAGACAACAGATTCACATGTGAATAACAAAAGTATAAACAGTCATGGAGTTTAGAACAGCTGAGAGCAGAGAATACTTCAGTGTGGTTTAAGTCATTTTGTAGTGTAAAAAAAAATTTCTACGGCCTGAATGAATTTCCAAACACAGAGACAGATTACATGGAATAGTAAAGTTTACAATAAAAAATGCACTTAAAAAAGAAATCAGATATAATTTAAATAAAGATTTTGAAATTTATTGCTTTGGATTCAGTTATTCCCTGCTTTATCAAAATTCATCAGGGCACTGATTATAAAGATTAGCTAGTATGACAATAGTAAGAAGGGAAAAATATTTCTACCTCAAAATTTTCTTTTTGAGTGTTACATACTGCTAACAAACAGGTCCTGGATTTTTTTTTTTGGTAGGGGTTCTCCAAGTTTTCTTTTAGCCTCATATATCCCAGACTTGGAGGTACAAAAGAGGCAACCTCGTAAGAACCATAGACCAAGGTTCCCTTTGTTGCTATTTTTTTTTTTCTGTTTATTTTCCTCCTGCTATTCAAATGGGGTAACTTCTTTTGTCTTTTCTTCTTCTTCACCAAATTTTCTCACACATCTTTCATTCCACTCTGCTACTGAACCCAGTCACTGAGCTTTTTATTTTAGCTACTGTATTTGGGTTCTAAAATTTCTCTTTGGTTCTTGTTTATATGTTTTGTTTCAGTACTGATTTCCTGAGGTTTTTTTGTTTTTCATTTGGTACAAGAATGTTCACAACCACTCATTAAATTAAATTATTTAATAATTCCAGCACTAAGAAGGCTGAAAACAGGAAGATCACTATGAGTCCGAGCTATGTTGTGAGACCCTATACCAAATACATAAATAAAAAAAAGATGACACCTTGGTCAAATAATTATTCAATACTTTAATGCAGATGTGTGAGAAAACTTAGAGAAGACAGGAAAAAAGAAGTTATAGCAACAAAGGGAGCCTCTAGGAACTGTGTGCTATAACGAAGATCTAATGTTGGTGTTTAGAGTCTTTGAAGGACAAGAGAAAGAAAATAAGGTTGAAAAATACTCAAGGGAATGCAGGCTGAAAACTTGACACACTTGCCAAGAGACATAGACAGACTGATTCAAGAAGCTGAATGAATTCCAAGTAAGATAAAAACCAAAAATATCTATTTAGGCCAGGACACACCATAATTAAACTTCTGAAAAAGAAATCTTGAAAGCAACTAGAGAAAATGAAGTCTGTTGAAGAAAACCAGGAATAACAGTATATTTCTTACTAGAAACCATGAAAGTCATAGGAAGTATACATCATTTCTCAAGCACCAAAATAAAAGACTCTTATAGAGAAAATAATTTTCAGGAATGAATAAGAAAATACCTCATATAGATGAAACTAAAGAAAATTTATTACAAGTTGAATTACCCTAAAAGATTGGCTAAAGAAAGATCTCTAAGCAGAAAGGATGAAAGACAGAATTTTAAGACATAAGAAAAAACAAAAACAGAGAGTAAAATATGGATAAATACAACAAACTTCTCGAGTTTTTGAAAGTATGTTTGACAGATAAATCCAAAACTATGACATTGTGTGATGTGGTTTTAAATGTATGGAAAGCATATATTTAGGATGATTATATTGTAAACGGGAGAACAGAGGGACATAAAATGGGGGTGGAGTTTCTATATTTCACTTGACTTTGTTAAATGACAGCAACAAACAGACAAGTGATATTTATATAATGAAATGCATAAAAATAAGCCATAGAAACCAATATAAAGATTTTAAATTCAAAACACACTAAATAGATAAATCAAAAGGTAATCTGTACAAAAAAATACAGAAAAAATACATGGAAAAACAAACTTCCCCAAAATAAGCCTTCAGAGTACATGGAAATGGATGAAAGTGAAAATAAAACACATCAAAATGTATGGCATGCAAGTAAAACAAGACTGAGGGGTAAATTTATCATACCATATGCATACACTAGAATAGTGGCCAAACATTACAGTCATACAAATAGTAAAAACACACATCAAAAGATGTTTAACATATCTTTAGTCAATAGTGAAATGCAACTCAAAACCACAATGCAATAACCACTCACACTCACTAGAATAGCTATAATTAAACAAAAGCAACATTGCTGGAAAAACATAAGATGGTACATATATGATTAGAGACAGTTTTGGGGCTTCTCAAAAAGTTAAACATAGACTTTGACTTAGCAATTCCATTTCTAGGATTACATTAAAAAAAAAGTGGAAGAGAGGAACTCAAGCAAATACTTGAGTCAAAAAGTGATAAAATCCAAACATCCATCAACAGATGAACGAATAAATTAATTTCAGTATATATTTAGGGCAATATGTTATTTGACCTTAAAAATGAATAAAGTACTCATGAATGTGGTAGTATACATCTGTAACCTCATCTACTCTGAAGGCTGTGGTAGGAAGAGCCCAAGTCTGTTGTCACCTGGGCAACTTAGGCCTATCTTAAAATAAACTAAAGAGGACTGGGAATGTAGCTCTTGGTAGAGGGTCCCTGGGTTCTATCCCCAGTACTACAATAAAGGCACAAAGTAGCGACAGAAGCTACCATATGAATGAACCTCAATAATATTAAGCAAAAGAAGTCAGCCACTAAAGGTGTTTTTATGTTATATAAAAGATCCAGAATTGTTAAAATCACAGAAACAGATTTGTGGTCACTGGGGATGAGAGGAACAATAGGGAGCACCTGCTTAGTGGTTATGAGGTTTCCTTTGGAGTGAAAATATTTATTTTGGAACTAAATACAAGTGAATTTATTAAATGCCAGTGAACTGTTAACTTTAAAATGGCTAATTTAGTCTAGCATGGCGGTTCACAGGGGTATTTTATGTTCAGGCCAGCCTAGCCTACGTGGCAAGACGCTTTCAAAACACAAAATGGCTAATTTACATATGTGAATTCATTTAAAAAATTAACAGACAAAAACTATAAAATAACTGAGGTCATATTAATAAGTTACATTAAAATGCTTAAGAAACACGACAAAAAAAAGAATAAAACTCATTTTTTCTTAAGTTTCTTTAAATCTTTGGATGACTTTTGCTAGGACCCTGTAGATATATATTTTACATATACATTACACTTTCATGCTAAGTATATGAGGTGTAATTAAAAAATAAGGTGACCTTAAATTTTAAGTTATTACAGGAAAAGACACACTGTCAAGAATCTGTTCCAAAATAATTCCCTTAATTTCACAATTCTTGCTACTTTCTGAAGCAGTTCTGGTGTACTCGTGATTTCGTAAGTGTCTAGCTGTGCTGTCACAGCTGCAATGATGTCCTGAACAGCTGCTGCTCTTTACCCTTCCTGGTTATTCTGATTGTGAAGAAGAGCCAGAAGTCACACAGTAATATCTGGTAATAAAGAGGGGAAAGCCACACCACAGTTTTCACCAGACTGCATTCTCACAGGTGGCCTCAGCAACAGCACTCACTGTTACCTGGATCATGTACATAAGTCTCCCTCAAGGGAGAGGACTTACTGAGCTGCTTCAGAAAGTGGCAAGAGTGACAGGGTAAGTGTGTCTAAAGCAAGGGAGAGTACTCTGAGGGAGATTTATAGCAATAGGTCTTTAATAAATTTTAAAATATAAATATTTCAATGTACATTTCGATCACTTAATACACTGATTTATAATAAAACATGTTACAAAATAAAAACCAAATTTTACTGCCAAACTTAATCTGAGTGACAAAATAGCACTGAAAATATATCCATTAGGTAAAAATATTAAAGTAGTTATTAAATATCCTATCAATCTAATACCTCTGATATAATTATTTTTTGTTGATAATGTTACTAAATTAAAATCTTACTTTATTTAATGTACTTGCCAAACTTGACAGATTTCATACTTATTTCTAACATAAATGTGAAATTCTTATATCAGTTACAATATTCTTTTTTTTTTAAAGATTTTTTT